AAATTATCCATATTAGCAAGCTTATATGCACTAGTACCAAAAGTGTTTAACCAATCAAAACATTACCTCTAGTAGGTGACATGTCACCTACTAGAGGTAATGTTTTGATTGGTTAAACACTTTTGGTACTAGTGCATATAAGCTTGCTAATATGGATACATTTTTCATTCCTAATGATGACATAATTAATGTCGAAATATTGAATCCCAGAAACGAACAACGTAGTCGCAGAAATGGATGCGCACAGCACTCTCAGAAAAGGACAACGGAATCGTCCATTTCAAGATAGGTCAGCAAAATATCGCATCTTAAGGCTGAATGTAATTTTCTTCTTAAGCATAGCCTCCTCTGTAATACTTGCCTCTCACGATAACAAAGCTAATTATTTTAAGCCATTTTCTCCAAAAACACCGATGGATAACAATTCACTGAAGGAGGCCGGAAGGCTTCTAAATCAAGCTGCGGATTTGCTGCGGGGTCAAGGCACTAACCCCGGTGGTGGCATCTCGCACACCATCACTAACGGTAGGGGAAAGTCATTCTCTAAAACAATTTAAAACCACCACCATGTGGTGACACTACTACCAAAGTACTATTTTTAATTATTTATTGAAGCAGATATCCTATCAGTACTGTCGTCATTCAAAGTACTGTAATATACAGTATAGGGACAGTTCTACGTAAATAAGGCATCATAATGATTAAAAAGTGTAGCCGCGTTAGTCTGCTATAAACAATATAAAATAAATGACAGCAAGAATAACTTGTTTTAAATTTAATATCTAGCTTTCGTCCATACGTAAAACTTTCACGACACAGGACCGGATTAAAGGGCTGTGGGGCCTGCGCTGTAATTGCAAGTGGGCCTAAATACTCTGTGGCTAAAACATAAAACTAAATTTTTCCTGGGGTTCGGGGGACTAATTTTCCCCATTGCGGCCTCTGGGACTGTCGCCACAAAAGCCCCTTTTATGATAAACTGGTCCTGGACTTTCATCAGACGAATGGACTGATGATGTCCACTGTGTGTACAAAGAGAGATGAAATTGTACACAACTTTAACCTTTTTTACAATGTTGCTGTAATTTCTTTTATACCCAAATAATAATTACCGTATATTATAGACTTTGAAGCCCCTATTAACATTACACCAAAAACGTTATGCTTGTAAGGGATACATTCAGCCCTGACTGTGGTTCTCACAATCTCTTGTAGACTAAAGCTGTATACGCCTTTACAGATCCGCAGATAGAATTTGGCCACACTAGGCGCATGAAGCCATGTTGTTAAGTTACAAACAGCGTTCGCGCGTTTAAATTTTATAACACTGGCATGAACTTTATATTATTTAAAAAGTCACATTATTTTTTTTTTCTGGAAATATTCTTAAAAAACTAAGCGAAGCGAATTTGTAGATGTTGGTCTGGCCCTATATTCGAAAACACCTGTAGTAGGAGGCCCTTCACTTTCACGCCGCTGCTGATTTTCTTCTTTTAAAACTCTTGCCGCTTCAGCAATTAAATATACAATTTCAGGGGGTACACTTAAATGTATGCACTCCCTACATATAGCATCGATATGATGCAATGACGGATGAATCAACCCCTTCACCTTCTAACAAATGAACTACCTCTTTAAGGCGCAAAATAGTATTCTGATTCTCCTCGTCCATCCCACCTGCCGCGCACCCTATATCATTTTGCCTGCATAACAGTAACACAGCCCCGGAATTGTTATCCATCGGTGTCTTAGGACAAAATGGCTTAAAATAACGAGCTTCTCATATATTGAGAGGCAAGTATTATAGAGGGGCTATGTTTAAGAAGAAAATTACATTCAGTCTTAAGATGAGAGATTTTGCTGACCTATCTTGAGAGACCTATCTATTTTCTGAGAGTGCTGTGCGCATCCATTTCTGCGACTACGTTGTTCTCAAGGCGCATAGACAATTAATTAAACCAACAAGATCCAAATAATTCCCAGAAGAATTTTCAGCAAAATCCAAATATCAATTATCCCATCGAGGCAATGTTGCTCCCCATATAAGTATGCACAGATACCCAAAGGCAGTATGTTGAGCATCAGCACCTTCCACCCCAGGATAAGCCCGGGGCTCCACTACCGTGCACTGCAACAGGAGCTGCATTGCGTCGGCAGAGAAAAGTGGTATCATATGTTTAGTTTTTTTTAATTTTTTTAAATATTTTTTTTTGTGAGTAATATAAATTCAACAGAGAAACATCAAGGTAGTCTATACGCCTCGGTGAAAATCCTAAATAATTCCAGGTTGTTCGTTTGTAACTGTATTTTTGGCGGCGATTGCCTTTTACCATACGTTTTAGTCTGCAAGGAGGTACAAACAGAATTGACGAGTTTATCGTTGACCTCAGGGACCGTGTGCATGTGCTTATAATACAAATTATTAGTAAAACTTGTATATTACCTTGACCTTGTAGTATTAGTCATCCATAATATACAACATTTTACAATATGTTTTTATATCCATTAAAAGTTATAACATACGGTAGTTGAATGAAACAAGTTATTACAAAGTGCGACAGACTTTATTACAAAGTGCGACTGCTTCGCGTATTACAAAGTGTGACAGGCAGCTATTACAAAGTGTGACAGCTTGATTATTACAAAGTGCGACAACAGTTATTACAAAGTGCGACAGGTTGTTACAAAGTGTGACAGTTTGTTATAAAGTGCGACAGGTATTACAAAGTGCGACGATTATTTCAAAGTGCGACAGTACAGCTTTGCAGGATTTGATGTTGATATTAACATTATTCTTAAAAAATTGTCATTAAAATCAAATTATTTTCATTAAAAATATTTTACTAGATGGTGAGTGGGAGCCATGGTGGATGGTGGACCTCGGTGAATTTTACGTTGTTGAAAAGATAATCATTACCAAAATGGCAGATTACGGTGGTATGTATATAGTCCCAATTAATTAATTAGATTTGGATTTTTTTCGGTTCTTCCTATTTTGTCGTATCCACCAAACTCAAACTAGGTGTTTTGTTTCAGCCAATGGTGAACATAATCTTTGGCAGTGTCGGTAGACGCGGCCAAGGCATGAGTCTCATCAAATTTCTGTTGTAGAGGTGTTTCATAATCTGTGGTTCAGATGTTATTGCTGTTCAGATATCCCCATGCTGTCATTTTGTTATATCTAATCTATCAGACTATCGATTGTCGATTATCGATTGTTAGCGAGCTGTAAATAAAAAGACAATTTATGAATAACATAGGCCACAGAACCTACTACAAACGATTAATATCATCATATTATGTTACTGTATTACAGGAGACCACTTAATCGGTGCTGTTGTCCGTGTTGGTAATGTTTTGGTGGCGAAGAGGAACATGAAATGTGGACCGACAATAAACAAGACGATGGTGGCGCTCGATTACCATATCGATATTGAGTGCGCTCCTGCGATTGTAGGAAGATACGTCAGCATTCAGATGGAGAACTTATTGAGATCACTGACTTTATGTGAGGTCGAGGTTTATACTACAGGTAGACATGTTACATTATTTTGTTTAAGTTCCCGGATGTAGTTTGTTGTTTGTGTTAAGTTTGTTTTTCAAATTATTGTTAGGCCATTTTTTGAAAAGGGCTAAACACGTGTCACTTTTCGGAATTTTGCCAGAAAAATTAATATCGATTTATTTCAGCCTTTCTAACATTAATCCATAGATAGGTCATTATTATCAACTGAACGTCTCAACTCAATTTATATTAAAAGACGAACAAGGTTAAAGAAAATCATAATCAGAGTCACTACATGGCAGAACGTCGAAAAATAACAGATATGTTAGTAGTAACATGCTAACTATAACTTCTAAGCGAGTTTATAACGATTATATTTAATTTACGCAATTTAGCATTATCTCTCTATCAAATCGATACCATAGTTTGTGTGTAAGCCTCCAGTTGCAAGACAGTTTGCGATTCAGAGAAAAAAAATAGCTAGGCTACTACCTCCATTATTACCGGGGTTTTTAACATGTTTTGCTTTATCTAGGGTCCCCGGTATCACAATTTCTTTGCCCCTTCATGCTGGTGCATTTGCGGACCCTAGTACAGAGAGTACGTGGCCTGATACACAACTGTACTATATTAATGAAGAAAGTTTTGCAACAACCACGTGTTCTTACACTTCTAGAACAAGATTTACAATTGGAAAAAAAAACAACAAAACGGTGGCATGTTTCATACTGAAGACCCACTTTCTGAATTATCACACTTGTGTTTATTTGTTGTAACGGGTTTGTTTTACTATCAACCACTGATACAATCTTATCAATATTAACGATAAAATAATATTATTATTAGCAACAGTCGTCATTTGGCAAACTGGAATTTAAAAAGTCGGCAATCTGGCATTCGGAAAAATTTTAATCCAGGTTGTTATGTTTTTTGCAATCTGACATTCTGCAAACCATGTTTCGGTAAACTGTTAGGGTAACGTATACATGATGTTCTTAGTGACACACGCCCACAAATAGGCAAAAATAACAATAATACATTTTTCTTATTTAATAGTTCTTGAATTCCCAATACTAACATGTCCACCAAGGGCGTCTGGTATCGCCAGAGAGGGCGCGTCGACTGCAGAGGTATTCTGGTATAGCCCAATAGTAATTGATCCATTCGAAAGAACATTTGATGTCCTCTGTATACCCGAGAGGAATTCGAAATTCCAGTCTGGTAGTAGTAATGTAACGTGTTTAGCAACAGCTGAAGATGGAACAACACTCTCATGTTGGTTCCCAGTTACTGTGATAGGTAGGCCTAGTAGTTGATAACTACATTGTGTTATGATTATAATTTTTTTTTATTTATTAATTTTTAATATATCTTAAATTATTCTTAATAACAACTTCAATGTGTCTTTTGTAATTCCAATTTTCCATGTGTATATTTTAATTAATGTTAACATTTATACTCTAAATTGTACGTACGTAATAATTTTATGTAAATAATTAAGCTATAATACTTTTAACACAAAGGAAATGATTGAATATATGTTTTTACTAACTTTGATTATACCGTCGAGTCGCAAGGGCGGCATACGTTTAGGTTTAACTATGTTGAGCACCGGTAATCATTTTTAGACCTACTTGGAAGTATTCGATAGCTATTCTCAACAAACCACTTATTCATCAAAATCGGCCAACTGGGATTCTGCAGATTGGTCGGGCTATATATACTATAATGTTCTCAGTGACACATGCCCACAAATAATCAACAATAACAATAATACATTTTACTATTTAATAGTTCATCAATCCCCTATAATAACGTGTCTACCAAGGGCGTCTGTTTTTGCCAGAGCGGGCGCATCGACTGCAAATGTATACTGGAATAGACCAAAAGTAAATGATCCATTCGAAAGAACATTTGATGTCGTCTGTATACCAGAGACGTATTCAAAATTCCAGTTGGGAAGTAGTAATGTAACGTGTGTAGCAACAGCTGAAGATGGAGTAACCTTCTCATGTGGGTTCACGCTTACCGTGAAAGGTAGGTATAATGGTTTGATGACTACATTATCATAAATATACTATGAACAGATACCTACTTATAATCAAGAGAATGCACGGTAAGCAAAGGAATTATTGCAATTTAGAGCACTGCTTTACTGATTTAACGAGAAATCCATTTAAAATAATTTATATTTGTTTTATGATTGTTATTTTTTTAAATTTAGTTTATCGGCCAACCGTAAGTTATTCCTCTTCTTTTCTCTGATTTTCACACCTCCCTCACATTGAGCCAGGGCATCTTGCATGATGTCCACTGCATAGAGGTTGCACAGATCAGGTGTTCAGGGAAGATGTTCCACAGTTGACCATGCTAGCACAATCAAAAGTTTCGAATACGGTAATCAATGAAACATAAGGTGGGATGTTGTGTCTTTTGGATGATAAGTTGTGCTCTGGTAGTAGACTTAAAACAGCTCGGCGCCAATCATGAAGCCACTTTACATTATCCCAGATCTTTTTGCAAAGCAACAACAGCAGGTCAATTCCAGTATCTCATGTTGCTCATGGGGTGTGTGTAGGTGTGTGAGTGGTTGCTTGTAGTATACAGTTTTTGACATTTTATTTACAGGAATAAATCCTTTGTCTTTAACCTGTCCAAATGACATCAAATTACATATAAAACGAAGCACCTCTGGCAAGATTATTAATTACAGTGCGCCACTACTTATTGATGCTGATCATTATCGTCGACGGCCAACAATAACTTGCAGTCATCCATCAGGAACATTGTTTCCACTTGGTAAAACAGATGTCAAGTGCAGTGCAGTACTGGATCAACGCATACTAGCGTCTTGTTCCTTCCGAGTGAAGTTAAAAGGTGAATATGCCCAAGGGGCCAATTGACACAATTTGTTCAGTATTCCAATTACTTCTACAATGGAACTGACGTCGTTCGAACTGTAACAACTACTGCTAATACATGTTTCTACTTACTACACTGCTATTGCACTCTGTAACTACTACTAAATTGTTTGAAAATACTTGAACTACAGTACAACAATTATTACAGCAATTGTAATGGCCAATAATCATGCATTTTATAGTGCTTCCACAATAAAAACCACCTCGATGCGCTTTTAAACCACCAAGAAATTTTGATGACGTCAACATCTAACATCGGCTGATTATTGGTCAATAGTTACGATTCGTTACTAACAAGTCGGGAAGGTTGTACCTGGATCAGGTTCAACTTTGCCGATGTTGTTGCGTATCAATCTAGTACGGCAGCTTAGTGCCATATTTGGACTTAATGTGGGCGTTCCGGACAAAAGCACCAATTTTTTTTTATATGCTCCTTATGGTCATAGCATTCTATTTTTGATAGGAACCACCTCATCTGAGGTCATTATGGCGGCCATCTTGGATTTCAAAATGGCCGCCTAATAAAACCTATGTTTATCTATATCTCCGCTTCTAAACCACTTGGAATTATAATTCTAATGTCTAAGAGTATGTTTATATGATCGAGGAATACCATCATATCATTTTTGACATGGTCAGATTGCCAAAAATAGGTCATGTAAGGTCATTCAAGGTCAAATATTGTATGGGATCTTTAAAATTACGTACCGGTAATTGTCAAATTTTACAGTAGAATCATACCCAGGCTCTCAGAATTCAAACTTTTTACTATGAACTACAATATTTCATTCGAGGTCATTCTGGCAGCCATCTTAAATTTCAAAATGGCTGCCACGCAAAACCTATATTTATCAATATATCGGCTTTTAAACAACTTCCAATAAGAATTATGATGTCTAAAAATATATTTTCATAGTCAAGGATTTATAGCACTTGTGACATGGTCAGATGGTCATTTAAAGTCATTCAATTTCATTTCTCTGTTAAATACGTAGAAAATCTTAATACTTTGTAAGTGGTCGTGTTTTACAGCAAAATCATACATAAGCTCACAAAATTCAATTTTTGATAGGAACTATTTCATCAGAGGTCATTATGACAGCCATTTTAGGTCAAGGTCATATAGCAGCCATATTAAATTCCAAGGTGACCACCATGTAAAAAATGTTTTGTTCCTTTAAATATGTTTACTGTACTGCATAGTCAAAGAATAACATCAAAAGTAGTGACATGTATTTGTATTTATTATATTCCATTATATATTGAAAGTCTGATATCAAAAATTGTATTTAATGTGAAATGATAAATTGATATCAAAAAGAATGGTATAATATATATATATATATATTCATTATATATATATATATATATATATTGTGTGTTTGTTGGGTGTGTAGGTGTATATATATGTATGTATATATGTGTATATATACAGTATGTACAGAAAATATGACAATTATGTAATTTTTAAGATACCATATCCAATATTTGACCTTGAATGACCTTAAATGACCTATTTGTGGCAATCTGACCAGGTCAAAAATGCTATGATTGTATTCATTGACCATATAAAAATAGTTTCAGACATTAGAATTATAATTCCAAGTGGTTTAGAAGCGGAGATATAGATAAACATAGGTTTTATTTGGCGGCCATTTTGAAATCCAAGATGGCCGCCATAATGACCTCGGATGAGGTGGTTCCTACCAAAAATTGAATGCTATGACCATAAGGAGCATGTAAAAAAAATTGGTGCTTTTGTCCGGAACGTCCACATCCATCTGCTAAGCTGCCGGACTCATCGGGGTTCTTTGTAGTTATTGCTGTAGCGACAGCAAATTTTTAGAGGTACGCTTGTCAGGGGGAAAAACTACTGAAATATGAATAGCTAAGTAGGTATACCTTCTGCAGCTATCTTCCTCCATGGTTATACTATCTAACTTCTTTGCATATTTCTTTCAGAATGTAAGGATGAATTCCTAGAAAGCTGTTACATTTATATCTCAGCAAAGAGATCATTTAACAAACAGGTTTCCATTTGTCAAGAGGCTGGAGGGTCGTTGGTTAACATTCATAGTCAGGAAGAGAATAAGTTTTTGACAAACAAGTTTCTGGGATTATCCAGAAAATATATGATGTATGCAGGACTGCGGTATAGGTTAAACAGTGGCTGGAAATGGGAAAATGGACAGGGGATTGAAGACTTCAAAAGTGAGTAGATTCAGGATCTTCTTAGCTAATGCTTAACATAAGTATGCAATACAATTACAGCAGATGGACAAATCCTCCTTTTGGAAGTCAAAAGAAAAAAAGAAAAGACAGAAAAAGAAAAAAATTATCGCCCAAAAGGCCTCAGAGATTATTTTTCAGGCGTCTAGAAGACAGAAATTTCGCGGGGACATGCCCCCGGACCCCCTAGGGCATTGTTATCTCGATCCACCCCCTTCCGGCCCCCTTTTGGACATCTCTCGATCCGCCCCTGTTGAAGAAACTCCAGGAACTTAAAAGTAGGTTAAGTGCAATTCAATACTGTAAGTTGTATATAGTAGGTCTCCCTTAAAATTTAAAAAAAAATCCCGACTGACCAGCCTTCATTTTCAAATGCCACTGTGACAACACATATTCTCTGTAATAGAGAAGGTATAAACCTCTTTATAGTAGACCACCGGATCAATTAAACGCTAATATTAACAACGACCACAACAAAGTTACCACCGATTCCACTGTGGTGGTGGCTGTTCGTTACCGTTGGTTACGGTTACCCCTGCTAGTGTTGTTTTAAGGAACTTGGTACCTTCCCCTTCTTTGCTGTTGATCACACTGGAAACGCCAGTGGCTCCTCTGCCAAAAGGCCAAACGGATGTCTTTGGGTTGCATCACCCATACGCGCTTCGGATGTCTCGAAAATTAAAGCATCGAAAATTGTTCCCTCTTGTCAAACTAAAGTGGAGGGAGACCCAGAACCTCTGAATGGACCTTTCCGCCGGAGTATCAATCAATTTCACTACTGACCAATCAGAGCAGGGCAAGAATATGCGCGTGTATGGCAAGCACGCGTGTCTGTATGTTTCAACACAGTCGTTTTGTGAGACCTCAGGAAACAATATAAAAGGGGCGAAGCTTAGCTGTAAAAGGTCCACTAAATTCAGAATGGGCCTGATTCCCCACGAATATAATAGTTCTCTGCTATGCGCATTTTCCAAAATGTCAGCAATATCCTCTTTATTATAATGGCCAAAAGAAAAAAAAAACAGGGAACGATAAAATTTCAAACATACAAAATTTGGCAGCAGATCACAGTGGTGGGAACGGTCAAGTGATTTACATGATTAAACACCTGTCTTGACTGTACTGTATCAGCCTGATTTCTTTATGAATCAACTCAAATAAAAACCGTAAATCTAGTTATGAAAGTTGGCCTTTTTAAACACAGGACGCGGAAATAGTTGTTTATAAGGGACAGTGGCGCCAGCAAATACTATCGGGAAGAATATGCACAAATAATTATATTGTCATAATTTTTACTGAAATTGTAAGGCTCGCATACAATTTGGCTTTCGAGCAATGACATGTGTACGCTTTTTATATTGATTTTTTTCTATGAATAAAAGTGAAATGAAGTAGTGATAAATCCCAGAAATGTTCCATTTCAGATTGGGCTTCGTCACAACCAATGGAATACACCAAAGGCAAATCATGTGTTGCACTAAAACCAAATGGAAAATGGATGACCTATAACTGCAAAACTAAGCTTCGGACTATCTGCGAATTAGGTAGGAGGAAGAAATACATTGAAATACTAATGTTTTATAACCGAAGATTATTGAATCAAGACGTCTGACTGCCTTGATTTTGCATGCACACAACGAAACGAAAAACAAAGTACTACCAGGAGATAGGCCTATTTACTGTAATAATGAGAAAATTTACCTGACTGCTTTCAATGGGGGGGGGGGGGAACTTTGAATTTTGAAGAACTTAAAAGCCATTAAGAGCGTGTGAGCATGTTATTATTATTATTATTATTATTATTATTATTATTATAATTATTATTATTTTATTATTATTATTATTATTATTATTATTATTATTATTATTATTATTATTATTATTATTATTAATAATATTATCTCTATCTAGGAATGAAAATTTTCCCGGTCGAGGACCCCCTTTCTTTTTGGGGTTTTTGGAAACATTTTAAAACCCCTTCTTCAAATCCTGGATCCAACCCTGATCATTCTCTAATGTATATCTATTATATAATTAGTGAGTTTACCATGGTAAGTTGGGCCCTCAAAACCCATATCCGTCTTTGGGCTTAGTAGGCATAGTAATATGTAGGCCTAAGACTAAACTAAATATTCGCTTGTGATTTAATTCCTAATTTTGAATGTTTACCATTAATTATTAAAAGTCTATATACTGAGCATAGCAATATGGATATGTTACTCACAGCAGTTCTAAGCAATATTGTACTTTAAGACATTCTGATAATAGACACATTTAACTGGGGCGGATGCAGGGGGTGCAGACGGTGCGATCGCATCCCCCACCCCCAACACCTAAATTGTATTAAGAAAAATAATTGTATTATATTGTTGACATTAATTATTGGTAAGAATTTTAAAGTATGAGAGTGCAATTTCCGGGCACCCAGGGGTCCATATTTTTTAAATGTTTGCACCAGGACTCCCATTCGCCCATGGGCGTAGATATGTGGGGACAGATGACACGTCCCCCACATATTTTAAGGGGATGGGGTGGGGGTTGGTCCCACTCACTTTTCAAGAAGTCAAGAAGATGCCTGAAAATTCTTGAAATAAACTGCATAAATGACCCAGGTTTTAACGAAAAAGCGCTGTACAGCCAGAGTACATTTTATTTTATAGCAAGATACCTGTATCTCTGCCCACAAACATCTGAATTACCTATAATCCACGACTCGACTGCGCGTGCCTTTATTATAATTTCAGAAGTATGCAAAAAAGTGAGCAAAGTTAAGATTGGTTTTCGAAACATGAAGTAGGTAAAGTAAAGTAAATGCATCAAAGACAATTAAGTTTTATTTTCTATGGTACATCACAGCAATTAATTAGATCGATGATGATGAATTTTACTATAATAAAAGTGTCATATCCGGCAATCTAGAGATCCCCACGTTTACCTCTTCAGCCCCACTATGGTGGGCTGAGATGGGTATGGACTCACTGTTTTGAAGTAGGTAAAGTAAATGCAAAAGACAATACAAAATCAAAGACAATGTTTTAAAGTTTTATTTTCTAGTACCGTACATCAAGTATATTAATTAGATCTCTATGGCTGCCGAAGCTGATAAAGAGATCATGAGAATTATGTTGGCGCTTCATTTTGACTATAATTATAACAGTGATGTGATGATGATGAATTTTACTATTCAAAAGTGCCATCTAGAGGTACTATTTCCTCAAATTTTCTAACCTCAGCCCAACCATGGTGGGGCTGAGGTCAATATAGCCTCACGGTCAATTAAATTAAATACATCCAAGGAAGTTTTATTTCTATGGTACATCGCTTATATTAAATATACGGTATTCTCTGTGGTTGCCGAAAATCCCTGATAAAAGATCATAAGAAATTTGCTGGCGCTTCATTTAGATTATAATGGTGGTGTGATGATGAATTTTACTATATAAAAGTGTCATTTCCGGCCATCTAAAGGTTATAATTGTTCTATTCCTCAAATTTTCTCACCTCAGCTCCAACCATGGTGGGGCTGAGGCTGAGGTGGCTGTGGCTATTTTTACACCAAATTCCAATCACTTACCTAGCGCAATTATCAGTTTAGAAAGGTAAGTCTGTGTGGTAGCATACAGTACAACGATCTCGCCGCGTAACGAGTTTACAGATTTTTGTATCAAACCCAACTTAATAGAAAGAAGAAAATGGCAAGAAAATGGGTAGGCCCTATCTAGTCTGAAAATAAAAGAAACAAACAATTGATTGATTTATTGACTGGTTGATTTATTTACTTTCCACATAATGAACAAAAAAAAAAAAAAAACATATTCCGTACATAACTAACAATTAGGCGCACTAATAAGTGTTTTTACCCTTTGGCATTCCATAATTTAAAATACCTGTACTTGATCGACGACGGTCGGACTCATTATTATGAAATATAAAACAGATCAAATGCATATTCTTTAAGCCAAAGTATCCAAAGTGCAACGAATTCTAAATACTAGAATGGTTTAACAATTTGTTTAAATTCAAGTATGATGTACATAAACAGGTATGACAAATTTGTTTTAATTGAGTTGTAACAGGTGTAGAAATAGATTCACTGCCAATTTTAACGAACACTACTTTGTTTTCTTTCAGATATTGGTGGTTAGAACTGAAATGGTGCCATTTGTATAGAATTTTTCAAATATATTTCTTTACAGTTCTTCTACTTAAAATATTTTATAGTATAATTATACAGTATATACTATCTATAGGCTTATAATCAACTATGATTGTTATGTGCCGCCATAACTGGCCGAAAACCTAATAACGTCTTAGACAAATGTATGTGCATTAAAACAAAGGTGTGATGATTGAAGACAAATACGTTTTATTTACCAACAAACATAGCACGCAGTTGACGATGACGTTTTCATCAGATTAATAATGCGTAGGCCTACAACACAAAGGAAATGGTAACAGAATGTATCATCAGTGACGTTTATTATACAAAGAAGCACGGATATTACACACCATAGGAAACTATTATTGTTTTATAGTAACATGTGACTATATTATGGGACCAACTTAATGTCTCCAGTTTTGGACCCAATGAAGATAATACCTATTTGTTAATTTCATATATTACCAATTGCTATATAAACATAAGCATATAAATTTACTAAAAACAATACGGATGTTTCAAACGATTAAAAGTTTATCCAATAAAAACTAGTAGTATATCACCTTCTGGGGGTAATCCGGTTTTCTGCTCTCTTCCACAGTAGTGTTTTAGCAATTATTATATATAATTTTGCTAATACAGTTAGTTGAATTGATATTATACTGTCGATGTTTTAGTTGTCTTCCTGTCTAAGTATTGTCTTTATTATGCCAGGGTCCAGTACAAAATAAACCCCCCAAAACTACACCCTCACAGGCTTGGCGATGAAAATGACCAGGACTTAAAATTTCAATTCGGAATACAATTATTTTTACCTTAAAGGTACAGTATAGGTACAGTATAATAGGCCATGAAGGCTTACGTATGCAATATGAATACAATGAAATTGAAATGAACCAAATACTTGGACAAACTGCAGGATAACTGGCGCCAGTGGGGGCATCCCACCACCCCCCCCCCCTTTGTCAGGATTTGGCGTAATTCAAGATTCATTTGTTGCATACATTTTAAACTGAAATACAATTATCATAGAAATGAGATGTATATTTTATTGGCTACCGTATTCGTTTGAATATGTACTGCCATCGTTATAAAAATCATTCAAGGGAGTGAATAATCAACAACGAACAATGTACTAAAAATGAAAACTGTACATGTACATCTGAACAATTTAAAATAAGCATACAATATTCATATTAAGGCTGAATAAAATTAATGGTTAGTTTTACGTCCTGGAATTCAAACTATTTTTTAGTGAGGTTACTTACTATTTGCTATCCAATATACTAGTGGCAAATGGCGGTGGCGTGAAAAACTAGCGATTAATTTTATTTGGCCTAAACAACAATAAACATTTGCCAATGTTAATATCAATATGTTTGCCAATATTTTCACAACTATCATCAACTCATTACCACCACCACCACCACCACCATTATTATCATCAAAGCCCATCCTTACAGTGACATAACGCTTATTCGCTCTCGTGCGGCGGTCCGCATCGACCCGACCTATTAATATGGTCCTCGATCTAGCTCCCGGATCCAAAAGACCTTTGTTGAAATATAACAGCATAATATGTCTCTGACATTGACTGTAGGACGTTATTTCATGTTATATCCAGTGACGGATTTAAAGGGGCCAGGGGTAAAAAGAAAACAATAAATTAAAATTTAAGTCTTTGGGTGCCATTTCCAGTGCCATAATCAAAAATGTCCTTAGGGCATCCCCAGCCATCGTGGGGTGAGGTGATAGACCCACCGTCTGTGAAAGTCCCTCCCTGTTCCCCCTTATTTCAAATTCCTGGATCCGCCACTGACATCATTTATTTCGTCGTTAAAAAAATTAGAATACAATTGACAAAAATGATAAAAACGCATTTAAAATTCTACAATGGAATTGGAAACCGGGACCCAAAAGGGCCCACAGTCTCAGAAAGCCACAGGGCTTCGGCCCATGCACTACGCCACTGCATCCTTATCACCATAATCATTATCACCACTTCAATTATCATCACCACAACCAACCATCAACATCAATGCACACCGTTATCACAATAACTATTATCACCCTTCTCCATCACCACCACTCAACATCACCACCACCCATCATCCTCAAAACACCACCATCACATAAAAAACCCACTATCCATATTATCACCACTCCCTAACATCATCATCACCCCATAACCAAACCATCAATATCAATGCCCATCCTTATTAAAAAGACTATTATCACCACCCACTATCATGATCATCACATATCACCCTCACCACTTAAAAAAACACACTCTTAACACCATAATTATTATCACCACTTCCCATCATCCTCACCACAGCAACAAATCATTAACATCCACACTTATCACAGTAACTATTATCACCCCACACTACCATTATCTCCACAAACCATGATCACATAAAAACCCACTCTCAACACCATAATCATTATCACCACTCTGCCACCATCATCACCACCACAAACAACCATCAACATCAATGCCCACACTTATCACTAAACTACTATCACCACCAACTATAATCATCACCACACATCACCATCACCAAACACCATGCTCACATGAAAAAAACCACTCTCAACACCATAATCATGATCACCACTCCCCATCATCACCACCACAACCAACCATTAACTTCAATTATACCGACGCTTATCATTGGAATAATACTCACTGTAGTATTAGGTATTAGAGTTTTCCAATCCAACAGTAAGATAAAATTATAATAAAATTAGGTTGAAGCAGCATTTGCAATTTGGGTCCACAAACTTGAGATTTGGGTCAAATCAACACATTGCATTTGGGCAAGACACTTTACCTAAATTAGTCTCTCTAGAAAGGAGTGTAAGTGGATCAGTGGTGGCTCTAAACATTTGCCGACAGGTGTCCGACATGTATATTGTCCGAGAGGGTTTCCGAACCCAGGATCACGATTGACAAAATATAATGTTTAATCGAATAGGGATAACTGTAAATTTATAGAAAAACAAGTTAGTACTCTATACTCTCTTGACCAGCAGTGGTGGCGCCAGGATCTGCCCGACGGAGGGGCTAAAGGCCCAGACGGGGGGCTAGTGGAGCGAATCGAGTCTCACTTGGCTGGGAGACAGGGGGCGCCTAGCCTCCCCCCCCGGTGGGGTCCAGGGGCGGGGATCCAGGGGGGCGAAGCCCCCTGGAAGCTACGGATATTTGATGAATTATGGCGAATTTTTATTACTTATTTGATAGGCATCGAGTTACTATAATATGACTTCATGTAGGCTATGATTTCTAATGTTGAAATCAGCTTCCAAAACCAAAA